TGGGGGGGGGGTAGTTTCCTCCCGAGGCTGGCTGCACACGGATGAGCTCAGGAAGAGGAGGGAAGCCTGGGTCCTGGGGTCCACTCTCGCCTCTGCCGACAGACTCACTTCAATCCAGCTGTGGGGCGGGAGGACGCGGGTCCCTCAGGAGGACCAGCCCAGCTGTGAGGCCGAGCAGGCTGCCGCCAGGTGTTCCAAGTCACTGTTTAACATGAGTGTTTCATCCCTGCTAGACTGGGTGGAGGGAGGTTGTGTCATTACATCTCCGGCGCGGCCACACGTGGCTGGGCGGACTTCTGACTCAAGGAGCCGAACATGTTTAAAACATTGTGCACCTCCAGCGAGACTCGGGAGCTCTGATTTGTGTTGTTCTTGCTCCCACGTAGCTTTTGTGAAATATTTCAGAGGCAATTGTGTCTTGGACATGTCATTTGGCAAATTTTCTTTCAAAGCGCGTGCCTTGGGCTTATTTCTTAACCAGCAATTGAAACGTGGAAAAGCCGACGTCTCAGGAAAGATCAGAGAACCTGTGGGGTCATTATACGGTGCTGTTGTACTTGCGTCTTATTTTTAAGATCAGCTTCCCAAAGGTGGGGCTGGGGCAGGAGTCAAAAGTAGCAGAAAACAAGCTCTACAAGACGATGTGTTCTCCAGGGCCGGCTCCCCAGCCCCGAGGCAAGCAGCTCAAAGATGAGGGCAGACCCAGGATTCTGCTTAAGACCGGGCAGAGGCCTCGTGTGGTCCTGGGGTGCAGAATATCAGGGAGGAAGAAGGCATCTGGTCTCCAGAATATCGGGAAACTAGGTAGCGGAAAAGAATCGAGCATCCAGGCTCTCCAACCTCTTAAGTTTGCTGCGGAACGTCTGGTTTCTTTGTGGATGGCTCCTTCCTTGAGTCGGCAAACTTCAGCCCCAGGAGGAAATGGAGCAAAGTTTACATCTCACCTCAGGCCCGGCAAAGCTGGCTAAACCATACGTTTGATGGCAGGCAAAATGTAAACACAGTGGCCCAGAGCCCTCCTCTGAGTGACTTCTGAGCACAACAAACAAACTCAGCCGCCAGAATGGAACACACTGCAGATTGGCTTTCGCCACTCCATCAATTTGAAGAAATTTCTAGAGAGTGAAGCCACCCCCTCCCCCCGCCTCTACCCCCACACCTCCTGCAGCACGGAGCACTACTTTACTGTCTTTCTCCCAAGCTGTTTGAATCATGCTCCTTCTGATGCACTCAGAAGGAGCTGAGCCCTGGGCACCGGCCGAGCCCAACGCTCACAGCTGAGGACCCGGCTAAGTCTCTTCTCTCCTGGAGCCTCAGGAAAGCAGCCATTCTTAAGTGTTGTTGAATGGATGCAGCAGGATGTCATGATGCACCCAGCACTGTGCCCGACAACAGGGTAAATAAGTGTTTCTCATGACACACCCCGGTAGGTCTTCGGGTCAAGGTAGCCAGTTATGTCTTTGTGACTCTTACGGCTGGAACCTGAGCTTCAGACTCACCAAAGGAAATCTCTTCAGTGACTTCACGTCGAGCTCAAAGCAGCCCAACCCGCTCACGGAAGCAGCAGGCACAGGCTGGGGCCTGCATCCGCCAGCCTAGAAGCACAGCAGCGGGGCTGGGCAGTGTCCCGCCACCCCCCCCCCCCCCCCCGCCCCATCCCAGGATCCCACCTCCCTCCGGATAGACAGGAATGCCTTAGCGTCTCTCCCAAAACCTCGGGAGGGCAGAATGGGATGGATTCCAGGCAGCTCTAGAGCTTGAACACAGAGCCTTTTGATGTGCTATTATGCTTTTTCACTCAAGACGGGTGTTCTACTGTTTGAACCACGACCGGTGGAGATTCGGCCCTTCCGCTGGAAATGAGTCCGCCCTCCTCCTCAGGTGTCTGTGATGAGTCAGCCCCTCCCCTCCAGGTGTCTGCTGTGAGTGGACCTCCCCCTGCTCCAGGCACCAGTGGGGGTGGAGCTGACTATAGCCAAGGTCTTCCGCACGCCAGTGAAGCTTCATTGTCTACACCTGCCTTTGGGAAATGGTTCTCAGTCAGATCAGACAGGATGGCCCCCTCCTGACCCAGTCCCACGGCCACCTGGCTTCAGATGCATTAGTTCAGAACTGATCCCAGGTGGAAATGCCACACGCTGGGGTGTAGATCTTTGCCAACAAACACGAGGCCATAGGTAGGTCTAAGCATACCTCTCAAAGACAGAAACCACAGACCTACGTAGCCAAGGTCATGGACACATCCTGGCTGAGGTCCCTCCTGGTCGGTGTGAGGCAGAAAGCCACGAGTATGAGGAAGAAGGCTGCCATACCGCGGTGGGCACAGAGTCACGGACACAGGACAGCACCACCATGAATGTCTCTACCGCACCAACTTGCAGACGCTGCTTCCGGGGCTCCCAGTCCCCTGCTGCTTCCCTAGATGCCTTGGATCCAGGTTGGCACTCCAGGGCTTGTCACAGCACACATCGGGGGGCTGTGAGGGCTGGCGGGGCAGGGGGGGACTGGCACTGCGGGCTTCGGTACTGGTGAGCCCAGAGGGCACCAGGACAGCATGGGATTCAGGGACGTGCCCACGCTGGTACTCCCAGGGACACATAAACAAGCCCTTTTGTCACAAACAACAGGAAGCTTATCATGAAGAGCACAAGGAGCCTGTTCATCACCCTGAACACCTCACACTCAGAAGGTCATAGTGAACGGAGGCCTTCGGTGGCTGCACCCCAGAACCAGATCCCCAACTCCGCCCATTTGCAGAGACCTTAGATCTCCCCAGAGCTCGCTCGCAGGCCCTCACGCGTTGGATGTGCTCGCTTGTTATTTTTTTAAAAAAACTGTAAATGAGATTTGTGCAGGTATTTTCCGTGGTTTCCGTTCTTTTGCTGTCTTAATAAATGCACTGAATCTTCAAAGAGGTTCTATATCAGTTTTGTACAAATAGAACCCACTCTTATTTTCTTGTTTTCTGTTCTAGCCTCTTGCTGTGCTGGGTTTTGTTTTTATGGGAGTGTTTTGCACGGCTTTGTTTTGGTTGGTTGTATTTTTGCTTAGTTTCTTTGGGTATTTTTTTTTCTTCCTCCTTGCTCTTTCTTTCACTATCTTGTATAGTTTTCTGTCTTCACTTTCATATTTAGTCTATTGTCTTTCTAGAGATCTTTTCCTGAGTATCTCTAATTAAAATCTTTATATTCTTCTGTATTCAATATAGTGCATGTAAAATAGAATGAGTCCAATAGGCTATTTCTATATTTCCCTAGTCCTTTTTCCTGTATGTTCCTCTCTGCTAGCTCAGTGAATCAATCAGAGCACCTCTGATTCCAGCTGTCTGAAATGTCTTCACTGTTTAAGGAGGACAATGGTTGTTTTGGGAGTTAGTTACAAATATCATAGTAATGGACACCTGTAAGATCACACCACCCCAGCCAACATGGGCTCAAAACCTGGCTGTGATGCCTACCTGTGGAAGCATGGCTGGCAAGTACAGAGCTTGGAACATGTTCTTCCCAACTGCTGTTTGGTAATGGCCTCAGAATCCTCTCCCCCCCACCGCAAGAGCCTATATTTGACCTCATCCTTCCTATTGAACGTTCTGAACACATTGCACCGTCTGTCACTGCTGCCCCTTCTACATCGTGTCTCAGTACGCATCTTCCTGCTTACGGTTTGACTCTTCTGTGTGTAGGATTCAGATGTGTTCCTAGAGTGAAATCATGGAGCGATGGGGTGTGCGCATTTGTGAGACTCTTGATAAATCAACAGGGCCAATTGATTTCCACAAGGGGGTTATCCATTTAGATGCCTAGAAAAATCAAGAGAATAGCTATTTATAAAAGGGCTCAGAGCTTTGACTGGCCTTGTTTACCGTTTGGCTTTCCTTTATGTATGTCTTCCTTTAAAAGCTATCCTGTATTTTCTCTCTCTTCTTCCTTCCCTCCCTCCCTTCTTTCTTTCCTCTCTCTCTCCTCCTCCTCCCCCCTCTGTCTCTCTCCCTCCCTCCTTCTCTGGTTTTATGGTGCCAGGAGATGGCATGATGTTATTGTTTACCACATGATTTTGATAGGTGTTCTTGTTGTCAAAAGATTGAGATACTCACTGCAGATGGTATAGATCAGTGTAGATGGTATTAATCAGTGTGCGGTATTGATTTACATATTGAAAGTGATTTGTAATTCTTTTTCAGTATCCTAATTGGATCAAGGAATAAATCTCACCTCAACCTGGGGCTAATTCCCCTTTAGTGACTCCCTACCACCAGCCCCTCTATCACCTCTCGTTATAAAACAACAACAACAACAACAGGAATTATCATCCCCAGGCAACAGTTTCTAGCATGAATTTTAATAGTATGGTTTAGTCTCCAGTATTGTTATATTTTATTTCCTTCTGTCTATGTAATGTGAAAGGAGCATTTTATATGAAACCAGAATAGCACAGTTCCTCTGTTGCACACTGTTACTTAGTTCAGGTGAGTTATAGATAGTGGTTGAAATTGGGAGCTGCTGGCTGGGACATGCATCCATGGCCCCCCTTAACAGTGCATTTCCATTGGGAGACACGGACTCCCACTCTCCACGGATCCCTGGCAGAGCTCAGAGCTATGTGACTGTGCTGTCATCCCTGCCCATTTGTGAGTCTTAAGGACCTTGGCATTAGCCATGCATATAGGGGCATTATCCTGTTCACAAGTTCTCTGGGTTCTAACCAGGTGCTTACTTGGCAGATTAACAATGGTAGCACAGTGCATTTAAGGATGTATAAATCCAGAGTGACACTGTGTATAGACTTGACTCAGAAGTTGGAATTAAATCGCTTGATGGCAGTCATCGTGAATCACGATGTCAGATTTAGTAGGATGCTAACGGTGCAGGTGGTAAAGCTAATGAGGGCAGATGGAGTAAACTTGACAGTGTCCAAACAGCTGTTTTCTTTTACACCAAGGGAGCTGGCCACACCCTTTCTGTGGGAAGATCCTAACCAGCTGGCTTTGTTTTCTCTTTTAGGATATATTTAAATTTGCAAGAACCTCTCCTGTCCCGAGACAAAAGAGGTCCATCGTGGTATCTCCCATTTTAATTCCGGAGAATCAGAGACAACCCTTCCCCAGAGATGTTGGCAAGGTAAGCCGGACAAATGACAAAAGCACGGTTTCATGAAGGGACAAGCCTGCGCAGGGCGAGCTGATGGGCGAGCTGGTTTGGAAGGCTTGTCTGCTAAGAGGGCACCATGATCTGGAGAGGAGGAGGACTTCAAAGCCTCATGAAACACAGAAATAGGAAAAAGAGAACAAAAGCACCAGCCTTGCATAGTACTGTTTGGGGGTGCACATGGTAGAAAAGGCAGCTGGAGTTGTGTTTCGGGGGTCATCCGTAAAGAACGGATGCTTGGGGCAGTAGCTATAGCACATTGATGGTTATCTTTATTATTTCCTCTTGCTCAAATGTGTGCAGCCCGTGAGCTCTGACTGTCTGAAACCCAAGCTTGATTATGTGCACAAGCCAGATTACCCAATCAGAATAGTAACTTTTGCAGGAAGTGATGGGTGCCAGCCACTGTCTTGACACTGTGATGTTGATGTAAAGACAAGAAATCAACACACTGTTCTTAATGATCTAATTGGCTGTGACTAGAGAGTCGTGAGTCAGGTGGTATCCCGTCTATGAATGGAAGGATGATCTGCTGAGTTGAGCGGATGGGGTTGACATCTTTCACAGAAGATGCTGACTAAGGAGTAACCCGCTGATTGGTCATCCCACAGTGGCTTACCTTCTGGAGTTAGCTCAGAGGGGATGTATGTCCTTGACTTGTTGGCTCAGGCAAATTAGCCCCCCTCAGATTGTCCTGTTTTTTGGGAAAACTGACCCATTTTAAATCGCTTTGATCACATGGCCCTTGGTCATGCAACCCCACGCCGGTTTGGTCTGTTGTGGTCTGTGGAGCAAATGCTTAGTCCAAAACAATGGCTGCCTGGAAACGTTCTGTAACACTTGTTCACACATTCTGTCCCTAGAGGAGGGCAATATGGAGACTCAAGTTTCAACTGGTTTGTTATTTTTCATTGAACCTAAAACTTGAACATTGGCCATTAGTTGAGTGAGTGATCTTGATGCCGGCTACTATCGGTCTATTAATTCATTCATTAAGCAAACATGGAACGTGCATTCTATGCGTGTTATAACCCTCAGACTGGTAAATAATAGCTGTAACAAGTAGACAATAGAACCCGATGAGGAGTTGTATTTTCTCTAATGTGTTCTAATGAGGAGACAGATTATTTCCATAAGTAAATAAACAAGGAAATTACAGAGTGTGGCAAATGCCAGGGGAAAACAGAAAGACAGCGATGTGAGGGAAAGAGCAAATGGCAGAACTGGGGGCCAGGGTGAAGAAGGGGGTTTTATGCTGATGGCTGATGGCGGTCTGGAGTCTGGGGTAATCGAGGGGACACCGGAGGATGAAGAGGGACATCTGGGGGAGATGTGGGTGCGAAGGCTGGTGGGAATGGGGAAGGATGAGGTGCATCTGTGAAGCAGCCCACTGAGGGCTGCAGGAAGGAGGCAGGGAGAGTGTAGGAAGAGGCTGTCTGGACGTGGCCCACCTACAAGGTAGGTGAGGAGTTGGGATTTGATTGTGTTTGCAGCAAGAAGGTCTAGGCGCAGGGCCACTAGGAGAGCCTCTGACTGCCTCACAGAGACGTAGAAACAGAGTGGGAGCAAAGAGATTCTGTACGAAGAGCAGGTTTTGTGGCAGCCTCAATGACATGAAGAGTGACTTGGCCTATGGGAGATCTATTTCTACTGGAAATTAGAAGCAATGATAAACCAGTATCCTGCTAATCGCTATACTTAGTATTTTAAGCTACCACTGTGTCAAAGATCTCTTACGTAGGCAAACAGAATCTTCCTGGGAGTCCAACCGTAACAGAGAAAAACAACGCTGCTCCAAAGGGGTGGAGGCAGGCCGGGCAAGCTCAGCCCCCGGGACAGCCAGTCCTGGCGGCACCACACCTTTGGTCTGTTTGTCCCTAGAGACGAGGGTTTGTCTTGCCAGGCCCAGGAGTCAATGTGTCCTCAAAATAGACTTTGAACCCAGCGTTGGTCAGTTTTCCATTCCTGTGATGACCTACCTGAGGCAGGCTACCTTATAAACAAAAGACGGGCGGTTTGGTTTCTGGAGGTGGAAGCTATGCCCTCTGGTGGCAGGGAGGCCTAGGGCAGCGTGTGCACACATGAGACAGGGCGATGCCCAGCGGCAGAACGAGTCTGTGGCATGCCGTGCACAGGTGAGGGCCAGCACAGGTCAGGCTCAGTCAGGTTCTGCCCCCACCACCAGGCTTCACAGAAACCCTTTTGTGTAATGATCCGCGTCTTTGTCTCTGTCATCCTCTGCTCCCATCTCATTTCCTGAATTCGTTTTCTTTCGTCCTGGGACTTGGAAGGCCACTCTACCTGTCTCTCCCCACCAGGACATGCCCACTGCTTCACAGGAGGGGCGGAGCTCTGCAATTCAACCCGGTTCTTGTCAACAGCGTAGATAGAGCACTTGAGGCCAGCGCTGAGAGAGGAACTGGGGCAGTCAGAGGCCAGAGCAGCCGACAGAGTCTTTGACAGGATTACAGATGAAGGGAACAGACCAGGCTCCATGCACCATTTGTCCAGCACTGTGCTAAGCACTTTCCATTTCTTCCTATGAATTCTCAGGACTACAGCCCCACAGCATTGGAAGCCGATGAGACCCAAAGGGGCACAGTGCCCATGTGCATCATGCTGATGACAAATGTTAGGGAGGAGCCGGGCACCCCTCCCCGAGGCTCCAGAGTGCAGATGTCCAACCAGCACGTGCAGGGGCTGTGGAGGGTTCGGTCCGTAGCTAGATGATAGGGATGTGATCTAGGATAAAGGACATTTATTAACACGTGAATGGCAGCCTCTACCAGTTAGTCCTATCCATGGGTCTTTCCTGCAAAATTCTTGCAATGTTCCTTTGCATCTGTAAATTTTCTAATAAATGGTCAGAGAAAAACTCACCTCAACTGAATCGAAGATTGCCGTACATGTCACCAGAGTTAGCATGCTGGCACACACACACACACACACACACACACACACACACACACACACACACACATTTTGTCTTACATGTCACAAGGGTGACGGGAGAATAAGTGTTTGCTCTTGGTTTTCTTTCTTTCTGTCATACTTGATCACAATCAGAATGCCTTTAGAGAAAGGTATTCCATCTACTGGAGGATATAAACACAGAAAGCAGGGAAGGCACTGGGAGAGGAAGGACCCCCCTCCCTCCCCTGTCAAGGCCTCGTAAGCAGAATCTGCTGTCCACAGGAAAGCCAAGAAGCCAGCTCCGGGATTAGATAAAGTTGTGGCTGATGCATAATTCATATGCCTGCCCAATAATTAATTAGGCAGTAAATAGCCAGATAACTAGAATATGGGGCACCTTCCTATCCCGAGAGAGAATTGCGTTAGAACCCTGATGTTCTATTTTACTTGCATGCTTGCTTAGGCAGCCGATGGGGAGCATGCGGGCAGCGTGAACCCACAAACTTGTGGGATGACCCCAAGGACAGCCAACCACAGGAACATGAGTTTGCACGCATGTTTGTGGCTCTGGTCTGGGAAACGTCTCCCCTCCTAAGAAAGGGTGGAAAGGGTGTCATGAGCACGCCTTGAATTCTGGACAGAAAGGAAGCGTGGAGTCCTGTGTCCTGAAGGTGCTGTTCCCACCATGTCCACTCCCCATCCCCTGCTCAAAGTGCAATGATTTCAGGATTGGGGCCATAAATAATTACTCAGTTGTTCCAACTTCTGCTGATAAATATTTCACGGCATCTTTAGAGATTTGTGAGTTCTTGGGCCCGATTGACTGAGAAGGGGGGGATTGAAGTCGGGGAAGCAGCGCAGAGGTCTTTGGGAGATGTATTTTATTCTGTTTTATATTAAGTTTGAAAGACAAGTCATTTATGAAATGCTTATTAGAGATTCTGCGTTCATCACAAACCCTTTTCATCAAAACCAATGAGAGCACATTTTACTGAAAATCCTGTTTTTATGCCCCCATAAATTGGCAGAATGGGCATTTGCAAGGACATCTTTAACTCGGGATGGAAGAAATATGTAATTGGACCATGTGCTGCTCCTAAAGGGAATCAACATAGATCATTAGACCAAATCATGAAAATCACTCAGCCAGGACCGACTGGGCTTTGATTGTGTCATGCGTGTGAGTCAGACTGGGGACAATTACAGCAGTTCCAAAATATGCCGCCGAGGTCTGGGCATATGGTTTATCAGAGCCAGCCCCACATCCAGGGACCTCCCTCATTTATGCCCTCAGCGAGGCACATAGGTACCAGGGAGTCTGCTGGCCTCGGAGTTGACTTTATTTGGTTCCATCGAATAGTCATTTGCTCCCCGTGGAGAACTCACTCACATGTCCAGCTGACTCCTCGGGAGCTAGACAAAGATCTGATCCTCAGTCCCCAGCACTTCCCTCCCAACCCTCCTGCGGACGTGCCCAAGGCCTGGCTGGATCCTTCCCGCCGCCTGATCTACATAATCCCAATCAGCCTTTTGCCCCCTTGAAACACGTTGCCCCGTGCCCTCCTTTCAAACCCACGTGCATGCTTCTCCAAGATTTACATCTATTTAATTCCCTCCTTTTTAGGCAACTAGTTGTTCCATTCAATGAGTAAAATTTACCACCCTCGGCTAGAGAATAGGACAGAAATTAGAATACAGGGGATAGAAGATGCCCTGAGGCTCAATGTTCAAAAATTCTCCTTGAAATGAACATCAGAGTTTGTTTCTACATGCAGGTTATACATACGCCTTTCTTATTTCCATGTCTTTGAATTCTTCCCTCTGCCTGGGCACACCCTCTTCATCCTTGCTCCTCAGAGCTGCTGTGCTCGCAATCCACCGTGCTCAATGGAACACTGAAACCATTCAGGAAGTTCTGTTCCCACTAACCACTTGTGCCCAGAGCGCCTAGGAAACCACCCGAACTGTACATTTACTTTCATTTGAACTTGAAAACCAAGGCATGGTTCAGTCAATCACTGGGGGGCAACCAAGCAGGCAAACCTGCCTTTTTTCACTGT